AAAAAAAAAAAGAAAAAAGGCCACAAGGAACCAGCTCCTATATCATTTGATTCTTTCACATATCCTTGCCCTTAAATATCCTTTAGTCACCAAGGATTCTACAGCTCCTCCCTCTCCTTTCCAAACCCAAGTCCTGTTAATCCACTTTTACGGGACCTGCCCTTTCATCTTCACTCCCATGGCCAGCTCTCAACCCAGGCTTGGGATAGCCTGATATTCTTCCCACTGCTATCCCTGCCTTCAATTTTCCCTCATTCCATGCTACACATCCCTGTAGATTAATTTTTCTCATATATAGCTCTCAACTCTGATGTCCCCTTCTGTCTAAAACATACACTGGCTCCTCACTTAGGTGCTAAATAAAGTCCAGATTCATTGGTTGGGCATTTTGCCTCTCCATGATCTAGCTAGAACCATTCTCTCCTGCTGAAGGACCCTTGTTTACAATTCTGCTTCACCCAAAATAGATTATTGAAGGTAATACCAGGATAGTTCTGAATAGTTCTCTGCTGGCCTGCTTCTATCTTTGGGATAATCTATTGAAAGAACTACCATTACCTTTGCTCTTCCTTCTGCTTTAAAAGGCCCTTTAAGCACATAACCTATATCCTGTCCATCCATGAAGACCCAGCTCCACCCTGAGGACTTCCTCACTACTTCCCAAATAATCTCCCAGGCTGAGGAGCCCTCAGAGAACTTTCTCTGTAGGACTTTCATGTCATTTAGCATTTTCTAGGTGATAATTATGTACAAATGTCTTATTTTCCCTACGAGATTACAGGATCCTTGAAAGCCTGTGGCTTTAATGTCCCCGTATATCCTTCATGACCCTAAATTTAATACCTCCCTCACTATGAATGCTTAAAATGCATTTGCTGAATGGATGAATTAAATGATGTCTTGCCCTTCAAATATGAAGATGATGCTATTGACCCATCATTAACAGAGGCAGAAACAAGATTCAAAAGAGCTGGACAGGCTGGAATATGTTGAAATAAACAAGATCACATTTAATGGAGATAAATATGAAGTCCTGTAATGAAAGCCGTCATTGGAGNAAGCTGGCGACTGATGTGCCTCGCCCGGGAAGAGCGCAATGATGGTGCCAACTTGGGCCAGTGAAGCAACGTCCTCCACAGCTAGACTGAAGAACAAAACGACAGCAACTTGTCTGTTCCCCTTTCCCCAATTCCCCACCGCTGTTCCCATCCCCCAAATTCCCCAATAAAAAAATCTTTAAAAAAAAAAACAAACAAAAAAAACTATTTCACAATCCTAAAATGTTAATTATCTTTTTTTCACTTTATTTTTAAAATTTTATTTTTTAATTTTAATTTTTTTATTGTGAAATAAACATTTTTAAAATTAGTTTCAGCTGTACAACACAGTGCAATAGTTATACTTTTTACCCCTCAAAGTTAATTATCCTTTTTATTTTCATCGTCTCATGAATGTGCCATTATACATGTAACCTTTCTAAAGATTACATAATGTGTGATAACACAACAGACTGAATACAGAGCAGATATGACAATCTAGTTTCTTCTATTAAGACATTTTAAGGAGATTTTTAAAAATGTAAAACAATGCATTAACAATATCTGGGAAGATGTGAAACAATGCTGCTCTTCTTACTAAATTTATTTTGTTTTGGAAAATACAATTATTTTCCATTAAAATATTTAGATTATTATGTAATGGGTTTATTATTGTTATTTTAAAATAAATAATTATTTTAAAAATGTTTACATTTTAATTTCTAACACAAATTATTGATAGATATAACCCACATAGACAGAGCTCTTTGGGGTCCTCAAATAATTTTTAAGGGTATGAAGGGGCTCTGAGGCCAAAAAGTTTGAGAATTGCTGGTACAGACAATGCCTAGATAGACATCTTTGTACATATCCTGAAGGAATAATTTTTACTATAGGTTCCTGAAAGTGGAATTGCTGGGTCAATTTTTTCTTAGTTTTAAGGCTTTTAACATACTGTATTACATTCCTATCCAGAGAGTTGAACCAATGTACATTCCCATCATAAATATATGAGATCTTTTCCCAGAACATACTAGATCTCTCAAATACATTGACAAAAAACACTACTGAAATTCACTGATTAACAGACCAAATAAGATAATGGCAGATAGATTTTTGGTTTCTTAAGACCTTTCGAAATAAAATATTCTTTGACATGTTATGAAGAACAAACACTGAAAGTAAGATATGCCTAGGCTTATACAGGAGGTCACGGAATTAAACGGCTGCGTTATTCAGAAGCAGTAAAAAGATTCATTAAGAGTTATCTTGACCTACTTCCAAAAGGATCAAATTTATTTTTAAAATAAATCTACATTAAGTTCTATCTAGGCGCTTGCAGTTGGCTTTCTGGGCCTTTGCTTACCTGACAGTCCTTTCATCACTGACTTTAGTCCTCAGTTTCTGCACAACGTGGTCCACAAGATCAGACTCCAGCACGCGTTTCTCTGTTTGCCTTTCCTTTTCAAAGGACTTAACCTTAAAAAAAATGAAACAGATCCATCATTTCTGAAGCCAAAAGGCTGAATCAGAGTACCAAAGTAAGACTACTCAGTCAATAGTTCAGATTGGTGGTTCTTAACCAGGGGCGATTTTGCTCCCCACAAGGTTTTTGGTCATGTTTGGAGACATTTTTGCTGGTGACTACTGTGGAGGGTGTTACTGGCCTCTAGTGGGTAGAGGCTAGGGATGCTGCTAAACATCCTACAATGCACAGGACAGCAGCCCCCACAAATTATCTGGCCCAAAATGTCAAAATGTGGCTGCTGAAAAACCTTGGCCTATACTAGAATAGCTTATCAT